TGCATTCATTGGCAATGAGAGCCCCGTCCAAGATCTGACGATCCTTCACAAAGGCCCCTTGGGTTGGGGAAATGACTGAGGGTAGGATACCTTTTAATCTAGAAGCCAAAACTTTGGATAAAAGTTTGTAAGAGGTGTTGACCAAACTTATAGGTTGAAAGTCTTTCAATTCTCTTACCCCTTCGGTTTGGGAATTAGAGCTATGAAGGTGGCATTTGTAGCTTTGCATATTACCCCACGAGCATGGAATTCAGCAAAGAAGTCGATAACATCTAAACGAAGGACCGCCCAAAATGTTTTGAAGAAGGCCATATAATATCCAGCAGGGCTCGGGGTTCAGTTATTGCTTAAGTCATCAAGAGCCTGGATGATTACCTCTTCGAAAAAAGGCCTTTCTAGCCAACTTGCTTTCTCATATCAAGGTGAGAAAGGCTAGGTTGTGCATAATGGGTCTGAGACCAGAAGAAGAGGTGAAAAGGTTAGAGAAAAAGGTAGTAGCAACCTGCTCAATGAGGTACATCTCTTCTTTTCGAAGGGTAGGTTGGTAGTCGAACTTAGCTTTGGCTCTAAAGTCAAATTCAAACGGCAGCAGACGCCTTGACCCCTCCACTACATCCAAATCATTTAATAACTCGAGCAGCGAGGCTTTTTACTCCCAAAAATTTCCTGGGTGCTGGTTTTCCAAGATTTTAGAACTACTTTCAGCAATTGGAGCTTTCTCTGGACTTGGAACCCCGCCCACTTGTGAACCATAGGTTGGTAGGAATTCCATGAGTTTGTCACCAGTTGATTGAAATTAGGTTCCTACACCCACCAAGACTCAAACCTAAAAGGCATAGGCCCTCGGTCCACAGCTTCAGTATCAAGGATGATAGGATGGTGATCAGAGGTAGGTTTGGGTGGGTTCCCGGGAAGGTGAGGTCCGATTTTAAAGAAATGAAAAACCTATCAAGTTTAGAGAGGATTGGGTTAAGAGAGTGGTTGGACCAAGTGAACTGGGCACCCTCCAGAGGGATATCAATCAATTGACATTGGAATACAAAGTCACGATAGCTGGAGAGAGTTTGGTTTGAGTTGCAATCACGAGACCGCTTGGTTATATTGAAATCCCCCCTAAGCACCAAGTGGCAGGGGTTCTTGACGCAAGGGAATTTAATTCGACCTAGAAAGCTTGTCCCAATCCTTCAGAATTGGGACTGTAGACCGCAATACACGTCCATTGCATCCCATCGAAAAGTCTCGAGAAGAAAATATTTGTCGAAAAAAGGCCTATGGGTGAATCCCTCAAATTGTGGGGGGTGGGGTCCTAGAGAAGCCAGATGCCCCCTAAAGCACCATTAGCTTCTAAAGCTATCCATCTATAGGGTTTGAACCCCCAGATGTTCCTAATAGCAGGGAGGTCAGGAGCAGGGAGTTTGGTCTCTATAAGGGCTTAAAGGGAGGGTGAGAATTTAGCACAAAGATCTCCCATAGACCTTTGTTTCTGAGCGTGGCCCAGGCCACCGATGTTCCACATGATTATCTTCATTTGGGACCTGGGGGCAGGTCGGTACGCCTTGAGCGGCGTGTGGTTGCATGTCTAGTCGAGGAAACTAGAGCTATTGCTGAAGAGGGAAGGAATCAAAGACTTACTAGAGTGGTAGTTAACTCCAAAAAAGACGAGATTGGACAACTCCCTGTTTTCTTTCTTCTTGCGGAGAGATTTAGTGTCTGCGTTGATGAAGTCTTCAAGCACCTTCCTGGGGCCGTTAAATTTGAATCCCATCACTTTTAAAACTTCATGGGATTGCCTTGAGCACGATTCAAACCATCGACAAAAGAGGAGTCAACGGAGGCCACTGAATCCAAAAGTGCACTGCTAAGGGTTGCTGATCCAGAAGAAGGAGAGGAGATGAATGAGCCAAACACAGTAGAGGGTGAAAAGTTGTGCCTAGGAACAATAGATGAACTGCTCTTGGAAGATGGGGAAAGGAAGGCTAAGAGTAAATGGGTCGTAGAAAAAGGTTGGGAGACGGGCAAAAGGGGGTAGAGGGGAGAGAAATGGGTAAGAGAAATTGGGAAGGGAGATTGGGATTGGGAGGAGAGATTGAATTCAGAATTTCAGGAGTCGCTAAAAGTGGGAAAGAATAGGGGGAGGGCGAAGATTGGGGCAAAGAGGCTACAACTAGTGGAGATGAGGGAGACGGGTTTGAAGAAGGCACAAAAAGATCCTGTGGAGGGATTACCAAAGAGGGGAGATTAGGCGTAGGAACAAACAAGGTTGAGAGGGACGATGTAACTCTATCGTTAAGATTCGAGCGTTGACTCACCGGGTCGACAACTTGAAATTTTGACTTTCTAGGCTTTAGGGGAGGTTTAGAAGCCGGGTTTGCTTGGCCAGAGAACATTATGGTGGCCAGAGGAAGGGTTGAGGATGGAGAGCAGTTGTAGGGGGTGGAGTTTAGAAACCGAACCGGCTGCGGGAGAGGAGTTGCGGGAACCATCGATGACTAGTTGAGAGTATAGGACTGCATGCTGATGAAGCACATGATGTTCCACTCGACGAAAGGCGAGCAGGAGAATGATGGGAGGGTCTAGGGGCTGGTAGGAGATAATGAAAATCCTGCAGGATAGGCGGTGGACTCGAGGGAGAAAGTGAGGGATGGGGCAAAGGGGAGGCAGAGCAAGGGGTCGACACTTGACAAGAGGGGGATGCAAGGGTCGATGCAAGAAGGGGCGGGAGAAGATGCGAGGAACAAGGAGAACTAGGTACGAGGGGGATACATGTCGGCCCTCCAGGAACAGTGTTAAAAAAGGTAGGTTCGTGGCCGGCGGCGATCCCCCCTGAGTGATGGACGGTCTGATTGTGCTTCCTAGCTCCTTCTCAATTGGACGCGAGGGATGAGCCGGTAGGACCACATTTCTTCGCGGGAGGAAAGACTTTTGGTCAGGGTCCCTGGGAGCCCTACACCGACAGGAACGACGGTGCTCATTGGGGGGTAGGGGTGCTTCCTGGTCATTATGGTCCCTTCATGATTGAGGGATGAGGGCGTCCTAATCACTTTAGACCGTGCTCCATACATAGAGGGCCTGTGGTCTTGAACATGGCGGTGAGAGGGAGGCGAGGCACAAGACCATGAGATTGGGATGTTGTAAAACAACCCATTGATCTCAAACTAGAGGGTCGGGGGAATCTAGGCTGGAATAAGAGCTTCCACCAGAAGCTGAACGGAGCCGAGAGGGAGAATACTAGTAGACTTCCGATCCATAGAGATGAACTTTCCGTAGGCATCCCCAGTTCGCTGGAATGTATCAATATTCCATGCACGAAGAGGAAGGTAAGAGGCTAGCAGCCATAACTTTTGCAGAACTGCTACCCCCATCGACTTGTTCTAGCGACCCAGGGAAAGGGCTGCACCATGAAAGGATGTATTCTGGCTTCTAAGGTCTTTGAGCATTTTTTCCTTTGAGGGGAAGGAGAAGAGGAAGTCCTCAGATGAGAGTTTCCTACTGGAGAGAGTGGAAACGTCCCAGGTTTCAGCCACCCATTTTTGTATTCCTTTGGCATCGTTACGGGGAGGCTGGAACCTATCAATAAGCAAATATCTCAACGCCTGTTCCAAGAAAGGGGCTTGACTTCTTCCCACAGGAATGGAGGAGGGAGCAGAGAGAGGGGGGAGGGATTTGGAGGATGAACCTGAGGCTGGGGGGTCACAGGGACAGGTGAAGTTGCAGGTTTCTTAGCTTGGAGGATATGGGCAAAAGAGGCATTGTTCTGGGTATGGAATGGGGGGACGGGCGAAGAGAAGGATGAAGCCCAGAAGAAGGAGGCGGCTGGGTATTGGGATGAGAAGAAGAGAAGATAAGGGGTGGGGGGCGAAGGAGGCTTTCCTGGCATGGATGAGATGGGAATAAGAATCATAGAAAGAAGGGAACAACATGATAGGGTTCTTCCCTCGGGGATGATTGGAATGACGGGGGTGGAGGGAGGATGGGAGATGGTGAGGATGGCGGAGGACATGTAGTTGCGAGGGATGGCGAGGCGTGACTCAAACCTGACTTAACCTTATTTTTTCCAACACGTATTGGATCAATGTTTGATTAGAGGAAGCAATGGCCGGCCATTCATCAGGCATGGCAATTAGATTTTAAATCTAAAAATATTGATGAATATCTGGTGTCTTTTTAGGGGGAGTAAAACAAATGTCTGAACTACGAGAGAGAGTAGCCGACAATATGTAAATTTGTTGCCCTAGGGTGGCAACGAAGGAATTTACAGTTCAAAGGAAGAAGGGGCTAAAAGATCAGGGGAGAAACAAAAAGATGTCTAGGTGAACAATTAATTATTAAATCAAGAAAAAAAATGATAAATAGTCTCTGACTTTTCTCTTTGTGGTAGATGTTCCATGCTGTATGCTTGAGTGATTCTGACTATTGTTATTTGCATTCACTATAGTGGGGTTTCATCCATTTTTGTAAACTATGAATTTTAATATTTAAAAATAAGGACAAATGATTGATTTACTATGTCTTGTTGAAGGGTTTCCAATATTTGTAGGCAATTTTAGAATAGAGAAAGTCACTGTTGAATGCATAATCTGCTTTTCTCTATGGTTAATTCATTTGGTTTTGGATTTATCTTGTGTTATCTCGAATTTGTGTGCTACTTTGAACTATTTCTCCAGTGCTCTCAGAATACCATGCAATGGATTGTGTAGTTTATATAAAAGTTTTTGTAATAACTATTAAGATATATGTGAACACCGAATCTATCCTACAAGAAAACCATTAGGGAAAATATGTTTTATCATTATTTGCAGAGCAAATTATAGAAAGAACCTCCTAAGTCTTCAAATGGAATTATGATAATACTGGCTTTTGGAAAAATTCTAGCCTTTGGAAATCTTTTACAAAATGAGCCTTCTCAATATCTGGGGTTTATGTATGCATCCTTCTCATTCGTTTCTTTCTTCGTATTGAGCTGTTATTCATATCTAATCACGTACAATTTTGTGCATCAGGTGTTGCATGGGCACCATAGTGAGGTTTGGTTCCTTCAGTTCTCTAACAATGGGAAATATTTAGCCTCATCATCTAATGATTGCACAGCAATAATATGGGAGGTAATCTCTTGTTGAAGATTAATTGTGGACTCTCATTTCTTTGCCTTCAATTTATGCTATCAAATTTGAAAAGTTTTCTGGTATTGTCAAGACTTGGCTATAATTTCTATATTGTTAATTTTTTTTTAATATAATTAAGTCCCAGATTTCACCAAAACTTGCTTAAATACCTACTTGGCCTTGGCCCACTCATCACCAGCCAAGGTAACTGGAAGAAAACCATTTTGGTACTAAACTTTGTTGAATGGGCCAGATGCACATTAAAATCCATGGCCACAAAAGTCAAGTCACGTTAATTCGCATGGCCGAAATAATTTTTTAAAAAAGAAAACAAATAAATGAAATAGATCCATCTAGTCATTCTTTCCAGTTAACTATTTCCCCTACTGACCCAGGTGCTTGCCTTATACTAAGATTTAAAACCTGAAACCATTTCATTAAATAGGCACTGTAATTTTCTCAAAATTGGACTCAATATACTTTGGATGTGTCCATACCAATGTTCTAAAACCTGGAATGAGGACCTGAACCGATCAACGGCTCAAATGGGTTGAATTGGTGAGATCCGGACCGATCCAAAATTTATTGGGGAAAATGACAGTCGCCCCTCTCACTAGATTTTGTAGTCCACATGACACTAGGGTCTACCCTGTGAACCCACTCCAACCTAAAAACCTTACACCTTTGCCCCTTCCCATCTTTGTTAACATGAAAATTGCCTAACTATCGTTTCCTTTCTGAAATTCCACATTCATCCACCAAGTTTCTTTTTCCTGAACAAGAAAACTGGTTTTCATAGCAAACTTTTATGGCAAGTTTAACCATCAGAAATAGCTAGAAAACCAGCCAGAAAACTATCAGACTATGATCAAGAAACCGATGTCTGATCAAAATGGTGAAAAAGGAGCTGGGAAACAATCTAAGGAGACGGATTTTCCCAAAACCATACTTTAGGAAGGAAAGCATGATCTTTCCTAGGACTTTTCCCAAAACCAGGCTTTAGCAAGGAAAGCATGATCTTTCCTAGGAATTTTCCCAAAACCATGCTTTAGCTGGGAAAGCATGATCTTTCCTCTGGTTTTGGCTGAAAAAACTTTCCTGGAATACTGGATATCGTCCCAATTGTTACTGAGTACCGATTTAACTTTAAAAAAAGAAACTGGAACCTGCCAGAAAAAAAAGGAAAAGACAAAACATGGTAATTTCACCACATAAACCCCGGAGTTCCACCAAAATTTTAGTTATCTCATCAAATTTTACCCAAATTTCAGTCCTCTTCCTTAATCGAAATGTTCACCAAAATTTATGCAAAATTTATGCAAAATTTGACCATTCTCCTTGGAAAACATCAATCATTTTAGTGCAACTTGGTTCAAATTAACAGCAAAGCTATCAAAGTTTGCCAAAATTTAAGTCATTTCGTCAGATTGAAATCTGGTCGAAAATTTCACATAATTTTCCAGCATTTCACCATTTCCACAAACTAAAATTCATCAAACCCCCAAAGAAAATGTAAAAAACTGAGGAAAGAAAGAAGAGAGATAAAAAACCTACCCAAGTCCATGTTCAACGTGATCATTCAAATTCAATAGGAAAGTCTTATTGATACTGAAAATCCAAACATTTTTACATCCGACAAAGTGCTAATTTTTCAAGCTAAATTTGCCACTGCTTCCCCAACAATGTTTGAATATGATTCATGTCTCTCACCTGTCATATTTGCGGGTTCTTATGTATGAACCCCTAGTTTTCAGTGATAGGAGAAAAACAGCAGTTTTGGAAAATTACTTTTCCACGCCTTTTTTTTCCTTTCAAACTATGGGGTGATGCGGCTCAATGTAGTCCAGATGCGGGTGCATCGTCGTGATGCGGCCAATAAATATAAAAAATTCTAAAAATTCTAAAAAAATAAGTAAATACATAGGAAAAAACTATGGAGGTGATTTATGTGATAGTAGGTATTTAGTTTATTCATTAACTCCAAAAGTATCGGTTGTCGCCTTATGGAGATCCTGTATCAACTATCCCCTGATAGAAATAGAAACTTGAAACTAGCTTTATAAAACATTCACCCACCATAATCACAAATTTGCAATCACAAACTTTAAAGTTACATAATACTAAGTAAAAGTCAATGAAAATCAAAGAGTTTACAAGTCAAGCTCAAGACAAATCATCATCGTTGCTCTACTCTTTAAGTCTTGAGATTCTAAATTTCAAATCCTAATAAGAGAAGTTACCTTGAAAGTCTCCATGTGCATCATCATTCTAATTTTGCATAAACTTCCTCAAATCAACTCCCAAAAGAAATAAATCAACAACCATCATCAAGCAATACGAAAATCTAATAACTTCATAAAAAAAATTTCCGTCACTTTTTTTTTGAGTGATTTGATTAAAAAAAAAAACCCAGGATGTGGTTGTTTTTAGTTGTTTGGAGGGGTATAATACCTCCAAAACCCTTTCCCCCTTTTTCGGGGCTCAAAATGTCCAAAATTCCCTTGTTCGAGGGTTTTGTTTTTAGGGGAAATATCCTCGTACCTCCTATTTTTGGTTTTCTTATCTCAATAGATCCAAAGATTCAAAATATATCTTCCAACCGCCTGACTAATTTACCCACTTTTAACCATTTTGGCCCCAAGAAATATAAAAAAGACATGCTCATTCTAAACCCTTCCTCTCTTTACGTGATATATTCCCCCCAAATTTCTCTCTCTAACATTTACTCTCTTTATCTCTCTAACAGGGGAGAGAACGGGGGAGAGAGAGTGAGAGACACGGGGGAGAGAGAGTGGGAAAATAGGTAGAGAGAGATTTAGAAGAAATCATGTGAAGAGAGAGAAAAGATGGTGTTTGGAAAGGATATGTCTTTCTTATATTTGTTTGGGGCAAAAAAACAGGTTTAAAAGGGATAAAGTTACCTTAGGGGGTTAAAAGATATAAAACTTATAATTTTTATGACCGAAGATATGTTTTGAAACCTTGGGTCTATTGAGATATAAAACTTAAAAATGGGGGGTATGGAGATGTTTTCCCTTTTTTTTAATGACTTGCCACATATGCAGATTAAGCAGATTATGTGGGATGCGGTCGCATATGCAGAGAGATGCGTGCCGCATCTCTCCAAAGTGCATATGCGACCTGTTGCGATGTGCTGCCCAGCGCATAACACTTTATGCAGCCGCATTTTTAAACCATGCTTATGTATCATAATATATGCATAATGGACATATATGTCTTTATGCATTTCTTGGAGGTGTATGCATGGATGTATGTGATTAATGAAAGCATATATGTGTTTATACTTTTTTGGAGGTGTATGCGTGGATGTATGTGACTAATGAAAGCATATACTGCCACGTACATGCAGTATTTGAAATTTTGAGTTGTGCTCCAACTTGGCCAGGATCCGACTCTGATTCTTCGGTCCTACTTGGCAGCGACGGAGTCAGATCGGTCTATTTTTAACCAAAAAAAACTTAAAAAGCAAACTCTAAAACTGGGAGACTCAGGTGATTCCATGGTTTTTAAAGTCAATACGTGCCAGCCTCCTGATCTGGTCTGACTCGGGCAATTCCTGAGTAGGCCAGGATTTTGAATCACCACACATGTATGTATATGTGCACGCACACTTCTGTGTGTATGGTGCATGTATAAGATGCGTATAGTCTGGCAAATTTTCTAACTCACTGAAAAATATTTAGTTCAGTTGTCTGAAGTTTGGTGCATTACATGAAATTTTTTATTGGTCTCTGCTGTAACCAGTCCAGAATTCGGTATCTGAAATATGAAAGCTTGCTTAAAATGATCGGAATGATAAAGTAGAAAGAAACCTTTCTTTGTGGTCTAATTTTCAGGTCAATGAGGATGGTGTATTGTCCTTGAAGCATACTCTAGCGGGGCATCAGAAATCTATTCCAGTCATGGCATGGCGCCCTGATGACCGGCAGCTACTGACGTGCGGTGTGGAAGAGGTCATTAGGCGCTGGGATGTTGAGACAGGGAAATGCCTACATGTGTATGAAAAGGGTGCTCTAACCCTAAATACATGCGCCTGGTTTCCTGATGGCAAGCATTTGATTGGTGGGGTGAGCGATAAAAGCATATGCATGTGGGATCTTGATGGGAAAGAGATTGATTGTTGGAAAGGGCAGAGGGTACTTAAAGTTTCTGATATGGCAGTTACCTCAGATGGGAAGACTATAATTAGCATTTGTAGGTATTCGGCTGTGATGCTTTATGACAGAGAAGGGAAGAGGGAAAGATTGATCGAAGAGGATCAGTCCATTACTTCATTTTCTCTCTCTAAGGATGGCAAGTTCCTTTTGATGAATCTTGTAAATGAGGAGATTCACCTTTGGAGCATTAATGGCGAGCCTAAGCTGGTGGGTCGATATAGGGGCCACAAGCGATCTCGGTTGGTGATAAGATCTTGTTTTGGTGGGTTGGAGCAAGCATTTATTGCAAGCGGGAGTGAGGATTCACAGGTATGTTTGTCTTTACATCTTCCGTGAAATAACATCCTTGTTTCTTATGGTGCCTCCGTTATTTCTTAATCTAGACCATAGATTGGATTTGGTTGGTTGTCAATCTGTTTATGTATCTTATTGTACTAATTGCTAGTATGTTTGCTTTGAAACCTGATTATGTAAGTATTTTATACAATCAGACTTGTCAGAAAAGTTGCCATGATCCTCAATTATCAACTGGAACAAACTTTGTGAGTGGATTGAAAGACAGTTGATAATTTTGTAAGTTCGGATAGTTGCATTTAATTATGATGCTGTTTATCTTTTTTGATTGATCTCAGAAAATTTTGTTGATAAAAAGTTGTCCAAAGAAGAGAATAGTTTGGGAAAGCAAGATTTGAAACTCTCGCGTCTCTTTTAAAACTTGGTCGGTCAAATCTTTGACAAGTTTGCGGTTTTGAAGAGGTGTGGGATGTTCAAACTTTGTTGACCTTGAGAGTCCACAGGCTCTCAGCCATTTTCTATATCTATATATACGCATAACAAGAGAGCTGGGTGGACATGGAGTTTGCTAGTCAAGATTTACAAGAGACTGCTTATATCTTCCCTATTGATGATGCTTGATGATTACGATGACAAAGCACTGCGGAAAAACATTTATGAAAATTAATTATTTGGAAGCATGGATGGTGGCATCAATTACAATACCTTCGATGGATTGTTGATGCAGATCAAGACATGGTTAAATCAATATTTTTATTTTATTTTTTATTTTGATTTTCAGGTTTACTTGTTCTTTGTTATGGGTCAATTTTTAAGGATTATATTTGTTTTAGGAGTTAAGGGGCCATCACTTGGTGTGACGTTGAAAGGCTCGGGTAGCTAGCGCAAGGGTATGGGTTCGAGTCTTGAGAGCGGTCACTTTGTGCGTAAAAAGCCAAAGGTTAGGACCTTTTTTTTTTAATGTATGCCAAAGGTTAGGACTGTTTCCAGCCCATCCCTCTCGGGATCCTGCGTTGGCGGGACAGGCATCGGGTTACGGCTCTTTTATGTTTATTTTAGAAGTTAGGGTTATGTTTTGTTTTCTGACAAAAAACTTCATTGTTTTTTACAATATCTTTAATTTATATTTGGTTTATTCCTTAAAAGTCCATTTTGGAGAGTTTTTTTTTAAGAGAGGAAATTTATCTGATATCTGTAATAAGTTTTTAAGAAAATAGGAGATTTTTTTTTAGGAGGTATAAGTTAGTTTTTTTTTTTTGAATGAGTTGTTATCTTTTGGTGAGGGACGTGGATGGCAAGCTATTAATTAGGGAAAGGAGGGGTTACATTTTCTTTGGAAGGGAAATCTTTTAGGAAGGAGGTAGTTATAAAAGGAAAACAAGAAGGTACATTGTAATGGTGGTTTTTTATTTGGTGAATGAAATAAAATTTTATCGTAGAGAGAGAGAGAGAGAGAGAGAGAGAGAGAGAGAGAGAGAGAGAGAGAGAGTAG